TCGTGGACTCAATTTACCTTGTGGTGTGACCCGCACAGAACACATACATACACAGTAAGGGCGAAGTAGAAGACAGTGGGGGGAGGGGAAAGGCGGTAAAAATACACACCCCACAGAGTAAGGGCAAGCATGACTTTGTGGCTTTGTTTTGCAGGTAGATGATGTGATCAGTGTCCATCACTCCTTTTAGGAGACGAATCCTAACCTCTCTAATCCATTCTCTGCCTTTACCGTGTCCTTGAAAACGTACAGTACTGTACTTCCGTCTTTGCAGAAATTCCTTCCCTAACCTCAACAAATATTTGTCTTGACCTTATGTTTTTAAGAGAAGCTACTTGCCTAAGTAACTTCTTTAACTGTTCCTGATACTTATCTTCTGTTTGCTTTTAAAATTTGAAATTTTCTCCCAATATCTATGAGCAAGACCCTGCCTATGCCATCTACTTCAGTTACTGTTCACATCTGCCAAATATTTGTGAGAAGTTTTTAATATGTAAGTGTTGGGCCAGCTGCCAAGAATAGTTTGTTTAATTGGTAGTATGTTGCTAGCTGCTATAGCTAAAACTTTCAGTGACTTAACACAAGAGAAATGTCTTTCTTGCTCACATAACAGTTTAATAATGCAGGTGTCATTAGTCAGAGGGTTGCTTTCTTCCATGTAATGATTCAGGGGCTCAGGCTCCTTCCATCCCATAGAATGGAGGTCAACAAATACTTTTTGTAAAGGACCAGGAGTAAATGTTTAAGGCTTTGTAGCCATAGGGTCTCTGTTTCAACTATTTAACTCTGTCTCTGCAGTTCTCCTTCCAGGGACAGTACTTTAAAATGTATGAGCTTGACTGTGTTCCAATGAAACTATACATAAAAACTGCTGGATTGACCTGTAGTTTGCAAACTCCCGCCACAGAGAGATTTATAGAGACGTCTGCATTTAGTTAATAGTTGAGCAGAAAAAAGGCCTACCTGCTTAACCACATGGGCCCAGAAATGACATACAGCATTTTCTCTAGCATGCTGTTGGCAAAAATGAAGCCCCATCTAGACAAAAGGAGGACAGGCTGGGAAATGTAGTCCCTGGCTGCACCGGTACCACCTACTACTCTATAATAAATTGTTTCCTATGATTACTCCTTGCCCACACTCTAAGGTCAAATGGTGTCAGGACCCATGCAAGTAACTTCAACGTATAAAGTGGCTTTGTTCAAGTCAAAAAGGAGTAGCAGAGACCCTGGTGAAGGGAATAAATTTACATCTTTCCTAGAGGAATATAGATTCAATAAATGATTGCAGTACAAATTAGACCAGGACTGTCTATCATCTCTGACCTACAGGCTCTAATCCAAAATCTTCAGCATGACACCCAAGACTTTCGGTGATTGGCCCCTGCTTTACCCTCATGCTTTTATTGTTGTTTTGTCCCATACCTCAAATCCAGTATTGGCAATATTGAACTACTAGTAGTTTGTCTCCAGGCCTTTGTCAGGATGCTTTTTTCCACCCAATTTTCTAGGACAAACATTTACTCGTTTTCAAGATGCAGCTCAAAGACCACTTGTTTGAAGGCTTTCCTGAATTTGGAAGGGAGCATTGACCTACTTGTCCCTCTGTGTTATTATATAAAATTCTATTATATTCTTCTATGAAAGCACCTGTTTCAGTACTTTGCACATATGCTTCCATGGCTGTCTCCCTCTATTAGCCTGTAAACTTTTCAAACGCAAGAGCATGTCCTACTCATTTTTGTATGCCAGCTTCTAGCACAAGGTAGGAGGAAAACGGACACTGAAGAAAGAATGATCAAAGATACAAAGATGAAAAAGAAAAGCTAAAGTCAACCCAAAGATAGGGAGATCAGTTTTGCTGGGTGGAAGTCTATTTAGTAGAGAATGGGAGCTATATCTGGAAAGATAGTTTGGGATAAGATTATAACATATTTAAGTAAACCTGGGAAGTCTGAACAGAAGGCTATGGTAAGTGGAGCACTTTTGAAGATTTTGATGCCAGAAAACACCATGGTGTTATGTAGCGAGGAATGTGGTACTAAATCACATATAGCTATAAAAATATAACATTTCCCACCCCTATCCAAATGAAGAGAAAGGAGATCAGAGGTAGAATGAAAAATGAAATGACTTTTTGTGGTTTTACTTTTCTTTTTGAAAGAATTTTGATTTTTCAGTTCTTATCCAAGATAATTTTGTGATATAAATACACACACACACATAAAACAGCATATTAAAACTATGTTTTGTATGAGTTTGGCTTTAAAGAAAATATTGTAGTTCTTTTCACACTGTGATTTAAAAATATTATATTAAAATGAAAGAGTACAACTTTGGTTACTTATCAAGTTTTAAGTTATTCTATAACTACATGTGTTTATCTTAAAGTAACTATTATTATAGAAGAAAGGTCATGCTAAGAAGTGACTGAATGGGCATTGGATCAAGTATGACTTAAGGTCATACTGGGCTTCACAGAACTATTTTTAGACAAAGTACATTTCTAAACTCATTTAAATCCAGTACTAACCAGAAAGAGCTAAACTTGACCCAAATTCTTCTCTGGCCTGGGAAAGAAGGCTGAGCACTCTAATTGGAAGCGATCACTTCGAGACAGTGCCCCGCCGTGGCCAGGTGGCTGAGTTGGATGGAGCATTGTCTGTACACCACACAGCTGTGGGTTCGGTTTCCGGTCCGGGCACATACCTAGGTTGCTGTCTGATCCCTGGTAGGGGGCATCCTGGGCAACGGATGGGTGTTTCTCTATCATATGTTTCTCTCTCTCTCTCCCCCGCCCCCTTCCTCTCTCTAAAATCAATAAAAACATATCCTTGGGTGAAGATTAAGGGGAAAAAAAAAAAGAAACATTGCCCAAAAAGAAGCCAAATGGTTGGAAGGTTCAGGTGCAGATTATTTAGTCAATCCTTTATCTAAAGGAGGAAGAATAATACCAAGCTCACACCTTGAGGACACGTGAGCAACAGAGATGCTTATCTACATGCCACCTCGATGATATCTTGCCTTTTAAAATATTTTCATACTGCATTTCCCATTCACAGACTCAAAGCCAGCTCTGAGCAAATAAAAATACTGAATTTTTCAGACACTNATTTAAAATATGCCTTTTAAAATATTTTCATACTGCATTTCCCATTCACAGACTCAAAGCCAGCTCTGAGCAAATAAAAATACTGAATTTTTCAGACACTTAGAAATAAGCTTCTCCATTCTTCTGTTGTCTCTATTTTTGTCAGACATTGTGTGTGATATTTTGAGCACTGCTCCAGATCCAACAATTTTTAAAAAGTAAAAATAACTATTATTGCAAAAGCATTATTTATTGTAGAAAACATATTTAAAAAGGGGGGAGGGCGATAACATCACAATTATTGTACATCCTTGCATACTTTAAAAACTCTAAAAAAAAATGGATAAACACTTTTTTGTAATTTGTATCTCCTAACACAGTTTCAATATCTTCCCGTATTAATATTCATTTATAAAGTTATTTTAAACAGTTGCACAGCATTTCGATGTCCTCACAGAATACACCCCCAATTGCCTGGCACTGGACATTTCGATTAGTTCTTCTTTATTATTATCAATAACTCTGGGAGGTAGGTTAACAGCTTTAAGGCTACAGGAATGTCCTTCTTTCCTAGGATTCCAGTAGAATTGAGCGCGTTCTGCTCCCACGACAGGGTGCTAGGTGGGCATAATCATTACCAAAAAAAAAAAAAAAAAAAA